CACATACAAGATAAATAATATGTGCCTCCTCCCATGTCATGTAAATTGAATAGCCACACTTCTAGACAGTCTAATCATATTTGAGTTGATCAAGAAAAAAATGATTGAAATGATCCGTGCATTTTGGCTGGCCAATAAAGGCATCACTGTTTGGTGGATTTTTGTTTGACCTTACACAGTTCTGGCAAAAGCTGCTGAAAGTTTCCTTCACATTGCCCAAATATATAGTACTCTGGATTAGCCCAGAGTGTGGTTGCACCTCTTGCTGCTTTAAGTCTCAGGACTAGCTTCAGGCTTTTGGATAGCTTAGGTGAAGCTATGTTCCCACTCATCCTTTGGTTCATTGCGCTGGCAAGTCCTCCTCATGCTTAGCTAGTTATGTGGTTGGGTGCAGCCCCATGCTGCAGTCAAGTTTGCTGGGATCACTGACTGGTTTGCTGCCTTCCCTACCTTCATGGCTCTCCAGAAGCTCTGTTCCTGAGAGGCTAGTCTAGTTTAACTGTCAGGGGTTTGCTCTTGCCACTCACTGCACCATTTGCCCTTCCAAAGCCCGCTCTCCCATTAGTCAGAATGAGACAACTGCTTCAGGCAAACAAATGCTGGGAAACAGTTGTGACGAGAAAATAGTCTGGCCAAGACTGGCCACTCTCCTGATTCTTCCATGTGGGCAGAGTTGTCTGTGTATGCCTCCAGCACTGTCTCACAGCTCCTGAACTATTATTATTATTATTATTATTATTATTATTATTATTATTATTATTAGTTTATTTATATAGTACCATCCACGTACATAGCACTTTACAGTTGCCGAATAAAGCAATTTATATACTATTCAATAATATAAAATAGTGAAATACAATATTAAAATACAAATGTTAAAAACCCACGCACTTGCAAACATAATGCAAAATATATATATATGGAAAACACAAAATAAGCAGTATGGATAATTGACTACACTAAAAATATAAAACATTATTTTGTAGAACTAGCTTGCTCCCCTCAGGTACAGTCATGGAAACATTGTCCTGTCACTAGTTTGGAAGTAAAATCAGGGATCCTTGCACTGTTTTTAAGGTGTGTGTGTGTGAGAGGAGGCTCAGCATTTCACAGGAAGCTTGTTATTAATTTTGACTACCTGTAGGTAAGATTTTACAAAACAATGATAAGACAGAATGTTGCATTAAAACATCATCATCATCATCCTGAAACTAATAAAAATCTGAATAGTTTGAAATCTAGAATCCCTTCAATTTTAGCTGGACCAAGCACAGAGCAACTCATTGATCACTGCTTTGCAAAATCAGTAGGTTAGATCGGTTCCCTTTAAGACTGACTAACTCATAACTAGGAATGGTTATGTGCCAATAAAACATTAAAATGGAGTCTCTAAGTAAGAGAATGTCTATGGCAACAACCTAGAATACTTAATGTGGTGGTGGGTCAGTTTTGTAGGGTCCACGCCTTAGGAAGAGATAACATAAGAGTGAATTTAACAACCTGTCTCATGTCTGTATGATTTCTGCACTGTCAAAGCAACATAAAATGTTGTGTTGATATGTTGCCAGTTTTGGCCAAGGTAAAGTTTAGCCGAGTAGGAAGTATGGGGTTTGTCTTTGAACACGTCCGTTGTTTATTTTATTTTAGGAGACATGAATCCTGAAAAACAGCCCATTTGTTCTGGGTAGGATGTGCACGCATGAACAATTTCTTCTAAGGGATAGTGAAAGGGTATGTGTGGGAGGTTAAAAACTGCTTTTTTGTGTGGTTCCTGTTATAATTCTTCAACCCATTGGTTGAACTCAATGTTAAGTAAGCTTATAAAGATATCATGGAGAGGAGGAAAACAAGAATGGTGTTTTTGGCTTTGGGTCTCCAAGGTCCCACACCCTCTTGATTTTTCAGTGTCCAGGGAGGTATGATTTCACATCTGACCTGATGAATGGTAATGGATTCAATTGTGGGTTTGAGACATGTAAAGGTTCATTCCCCACCCAGCTGCCAGGGTGACTGTCCAGTTGACGTCAGAAATTTTTGCTTCATCTCCTGGCACCAGGACGTTATATTTATAACAGCACCAGGAGCAGTGGAACTGGAATAGGCGTGCCCATCTCCTTCATCCCCCTTTTTTTCTTCATTTGCTTTTAAAACTCCCCTTAGGAGTGCATGAGAGCAATTTTGCTGCTTGTCTTCTCAGGGAGAGAGAAAATAACCACTGGAGTGGAGATTATTTGCTGACTGGAAGAGTACAGGTGTTTCCTTGCTTTAGCCTCTGCTCTTGAAGAAAGCTCCTCTCCTAGTTTTCAAGAAGAACAGAATCAAGGTAAATCAATGCCAAAGCTATTAGTATGGTGCCTTTAGAGCGCTAGCTTTGACCAACGGGTTAAGGTGTGTAGATCTTTCTCAACCAGGGACATACCAAAGTGCTGCAGCTTTCAAGTTAGTTTAAATTTTGGGTGTAATGTCAGAGGAATGACATAGGATTATTAAATGCGTATCTTGAAAGGCTTCCAAGTCCTTCCCAGGTTACGAACTTCTGGGAAGCATCTCCAAATGCCAAGACATATTGTAGGTAGAGGGCTGGTATAGAGAGACAAGGATTCAATCCAGCTTTAGCCAAACACTCTCTTAATCTCAGCCTCACCCACTTCAAAGCATTGTTATGAGGGTAAAATAGGATAACTTCAGGTACATTTCTCCAAGCAGCTTGAATGAAGTGGTGGAGAATGCAAAAAGACAGAATAAAAAAAAGGTAAAATTGGATGGACTTTCCATTTGATGACTTCTTTACATTCATATGACTCGATGATCACAGTTCATGTATTTCATTGTCACTTTATTTATGTAGTTTTGTACATTCATCTAATACATTTCAGTCATTTTTTTCCTTAAAAATGATACAGAAAGTGACTTACAGAAGAAAAGTCATAACTGAGAGAGAGAGAGAGCATAACTATATACGCTGGTAGCCTAACCTGCCCAGGATGTGCCAAAACTCTGTAATATCACTCCACTTTCAGGGGGGAAATTTATATTATAGGTGGGGTAGGGACAAAGGGGAAAATCTCAAACACTTCCAACTCCTGACATTCTTCCTCAAAACTTCTTTCCCCTGGTCTTCTAATGTATATTTATTTATTTATTTGATTTATAGGCTGCTTACCATTTCTGGGAGGAGGGGGGACATTGAAGCAATCTACAGTATAAAACCAAGAAACTAACAGACAATAAAATGCAAAATATTTATATGAGTTAAAATATTTAAACTTAGAATCAGATTGATTTTTTCTGATTGGCTTACTTCTGATTGTGACACTATCCTGAGAGAAAAACTGGTGAAGGGAAACCATTTTTTTTCTGTTGCTGTGTGCATGCATGTATATATGGCCAGGGAAAGGATTATTCTCTTCTTTTCTAGTCATTCACAGAGTATTTTAAATCTCTGTCCACATTTCATCTCCACATTATAGGAAACCAGAAAGATAGAATCTACTGACTTCACAACTAGTTTGGCTCTAAATTGCCAGGGTTAGAAATGGGTAGTCAAATAGTGGGAGCCACAAAACAAGACGTAACCATTTGTTTAATGTAAGAATAGAAAGAATGTAATGGTGAATAACAAAACCATTAGTCAAATATGTAACTAGCTGAGAACCACTGTAGTTTAGCAGTTTGGGTGTTGAACTGGGAAATTCCACTTGGTCATGTAAGCCCACTGGGTGACTTTGGGCAAATCACACTCTCTTAGCCTTAGAGGCAGATAATGGCAACCTCCTACTGAACAAATCTTGCCAAGAAAATACTGTGATGCATTTGTCTTAGGGTTACCATAAGTCAAAAATGACTTGAAGACACAGAACAACAACGTATCTAGCAAATCACACAAAATATGGTCAATGGAACAAAATATGGTCAATGCATAGTTTGTAACTTGCATTCCTTGACTGCTGCTTGGCATCCAGAGTGGCATTCTCTTATCATGTTTTTAATCTTGGCAAGGCACCAGCATGCATCCATTTTGTGGCTATTTCCTGGGGTATGAAAAGTGTTGGACTTCCTTGTCCACATACACACGCAGTGCTGTATGAGGCCTGTAAATTTATTACGCGTTTTCATCTCAGACAAGTTTGAAATGGAGTTCTTGAAGTGATCTTCTTAAAATAAAAATATGTCTCATTGGCTTCAGTGAGACTTATTCTGCTGAAAGTGAAGTACAGCTATTTAACAAATAATAATAATAATAATAATAATAATAATAATATTTATTTATATCCTGCCCCTTTGAGATCAATCGGGGCAGCTAACAACAATAAAATATTATATAATACAGACAAGTCAGATTCCCTCCCCCCCTTAAAACATTATTAAATCAGTCCAAGCTAAAACTACGACATACAACACAACAATAATTAAAACCATTTCCAGTGAGCGATGGCAGTACTTAATTAACAGATGAAGACCCAGAACCACCTTAAGAGAGGGGTTCCTGAGGCCGGGGTTATCTATGTGTGTGTGGTCTGTGCTTTCAAGACTGAGGAGTTTATCGCACATGCATTTTTAGCCTGATCTGTGCATGGGTCAGGATTGGGCTAGAATGGGGGGGTGGGGGGAAATGGGTGTTACCGCACACAAAAATGCTGCTGTGCTGCCGCCCAACCACCACCCGTCCCTGAGCTGCACTTAGCCGGCTGATTTTGCTAGGACATCCCTGTGTGTGATAGACTCCTTAATGTGTGACTAAAAGACGTGTGCAATAAACTCCTTAATGTGATTTCATGAACTTCACAGGGTTTTCTCATAAGTACAGATAGCTTAAATGCATATGTTTTGGTAGCTACAGTCAAATAACCAGATCCAGAAATCTGACCATTTCACTATCTGCTGTTGGAATATGTGAATTTAAGCTTTATGAACCAAAGTGGAGAGGACAAGGAAGGCAGCATCACCCAACGCTACAGCCACAAATTCAAAAAATTTACTTGGAAGTAAATTAGAACTGAGCCATTATGGTATATTGGTTTGTGTGCTGGACTATGATTCTGGAGATCAGGGTTCAAATCCCTGCCAAGCCATGAAAGGCACTGGGTGACCTAGGGCAAATCACACTCTCTCACCCTCAGAGGATTGCAATAGCCAGAAACCCACCAAGAAAACCCTGTGATATGGTTGCCATAAGTCGGAAATGACTTGAAGACACACAACAACAGCAACAACAAAGTTCAGAACTGCAGCTTTTATGTATAAAATGCATTTTTCCCTCCTTTTTCAGTAATGGCGAAGTTCATCACTGTTCATGAATATCTAAGTGGCCAGGCAGATGCTAAAACAGCCCATAGGGAAATTCTCACTGGAGAAGCAATATATTTAGCATTCAAGGAGCATGTTAATTTCTTTGGTTTCAGTGCCCTGAAAGCATATCAGTCACTGTATAGTAAGTGGAGAAAACTGTTCCTACTTGATGCAGTGTTGACAGCTGCAGATAATTACAGTGGTTTGGGTCCAGATTTAATCATATTTAGAGTAGAGTTATTGGGATCAATGTGACTTTCATTGCTCAGCACTAACTTTTCAATGGATCTGATCTTTGTACGACTAAATCTGAATCGAACCCATTGGTCCCACAGCTTGTGGGGCCACAAGTTAGCAATGGATCAAAACATTTCTTTCTTATTATGTCCATGCAATGATGGTGGTGTAATGATTTGAATGTTGGACTATGACCTTGGAGAGCATGCTATGATTCCCAGATTGGCCATGTAAACTCACTGGATGACCTTGGGCAAGTCACATGCTCTCAGCCTCAGGGGAAGGCAATGGCAACCTCTTCTGAACAAATTTTGCCAAGAAAACCCTGTGATAGGTTTGCCTTAGAGTTGCCATAATTGTGAAATGACTTGAAGGCACACAAGAACAACGAAATGATGGACAAGCAGTAGCCCTAGGCTAAGGCCATGAAGAGTCCTTGGCTAAATTTTATTACTGCTTTTCTGACTGGTAAAATATGGTTTAGCAAGGCAGGATTTGAGCATCCAAACCAAACTTTTAAATCTTTTAGTTATTTATTGGTGTAGCTCTTTGATCTCTTGGCTTTCACTTTAATAAATAATATTTTAAAATTAGTAGAGCCATTCACCATAGGCTTACATCCCATATTCTGTGTTTGAACAATGCTTTGGAAAAAGAAGGTTGAGTGAATGGAGCTCAAGAGATTGCCATCTTGTCCATAATGATATGGCAAGAGATTGTGATGTATTAGTTTATGGAAAAACAACCTCAGGGTGATCAGATCAGAACCTTTATTTGATCCACATTCTTCCACTGAAATGATCCTGTGAATCCATCCTGATTATAAAAATACATTTGTATTGGATTCTTCATTCTAATAAATAGAATTGCTTATTCATTTTGTTGCTCTTAATCAGAGTAGGCAACAAGGAACAGGGCAATGAAACCTTGTACAGTGACTATTGGAAATCCTGCACAAAATCTCTTCCTCCCACCCAAATAGTGAGTTTGAAATTTGATCAGCTATTGGATCAGCTATTGGAGGCAGTGTGATGTAAATAATCAAAGTGTTGAACTAAGGGCAGGACTGTGGAGGTTTGCATTCACATCTCCACTGAGCTCATCAGATGGCCTTGAGCCAGTCATAGTATCAGTTTAATCCAGTGGTTCCTAAACTTTGGTCCTCCAGATGTTTTGGACTTCAGCTCCCAGAATTCCTGACTGCTGGCCAAACTGGCTAGGGCTTCTGGGAGATGAAGTCCAAAATTCCTGGAAGACCAAAGTTTAGGAATCACTGAAAGCCGTTTGGTTGCCATGAAGGTAAAAAGACACCATATGTATTCCTTACAGGAGGGGTGGGCAACTGCAGCAAGTCTGAGGGCCACTTTCATGCTCCAGGGTGCTCAGGGGACCTCAAGGTTACCAAAAGATAAATCAAACAAGCAGCAGATTGGCTGGCTAAATGAAACTTGAAATTGTCAATGGACCTCATTATGGAATCACTGGTCAGAATCCTGGTGATGGCACTTTTTCTAGGGTTGCACAGTGATCCTTGAAGATCACTGTGGTGGAGTCTCCTCCTTTGGAGGTTTTTAAACAGAGTCTGGATGGCCATCTATCAGGAGTGCTTTGATTGTGTATTTTTGCATGGCAGGGGTTGGACTGGATGGACCTTGACATTTCTTCCAGCTCTATGATTCTATGATATTATGGTATGGGAAAGCAGACAATTATCTGTTTACTCCAAGCACCCAATTTCTCTAGTGCCTTACGTCTTCACAGTTACTGTGAAAGCACCCCTTTTCATCCTGCCACCATCATGTACAGTTAGGCCAGTAAAGTACATAAATGGGATTTCTGCCTCCATGTTGGTTTTCTGTGAGCCATTGCAATAAAGTGGTTAAGGGTGGCTACTTTGACTTCTGCACTTTGAGGAAAAAAAAGGAAAGCAACCCCACCTCCAAAAGAAGAATAACAGAGGATATAGATTTTCACATAAATCATTGTTGTTGTGTGCCTTCAAGTTATTTCCAACTTATGTTGACCACAAGGCAATCACATCACAGGGTTTTCTTGGCAAGATTTGTTCAGAGGTTTGTTTGCCTTTGCTTTCCTCTGAGGCTGAGAGAGTGTGACTTGCTCAAGGTCACTCAGTAGGTTTGCATGGCTGGACAGGGATTCAAACCCTGTCATAGTCCAATGCCCAAATGTGCTAAATTATAGGAATATATTCAAATCCATAAGAATTTGGATTTACTATAAATCTGATGGAAATACACTTCACAACAATGGGAAAGACTATCAATGGGTGGCCTGTGTGCCTATTAATCCTGCTGTGCAGTTGGTCACTTTTGAGGGAGTGATGTCAAGGCCCCTGCTCTCCCATCTTACAACTCTTTAATTTCAACTGTACTTAATTGTCCTTCAGATCAAGGACTGTTTTCTATAGGACTCAAGAGCTGCTGCATTAGTCTGATTTATGGTACTGAAATAATGCAGTTTGAAAGGGCTTTAACTGCCTTGACTCAATGCTGGAATTCTGGAATTTGTAGTTTTGTGTGATATTCAGCGTTCTCTGTCAGAGAGCTCTGGTGCCACAACACACTACAAATCCCAATATTTCATAGCACTGAGCCTTGACAGTTAAAGCAGTATCACTGCACTATTTCTGCAGTGTAGATTATTATGCTGGTGTAATTGTTCTGGCACAAGTGTCTCATATCTGCATATCTCATATCTGTGTATGCTGGCACAAATGGTGATTTTGGGAGGAAACTGGCTATAGGTAGAATGAGAAACCTGGAAGAAATAGGCTCTTCAAAGTCTGCATTTTCTTTCCAATTCTCTCTGACTCTTCTCTGTGACCCTGTGTGCCAACAAGATTCTGGTTATGGTGCCTTGACATCCAGAGTGTGGAAGAGTTGTGGGGCTCAGTAGCGATTTGTGTGCTTGTGTAATAATAATAATAATAATAATAATTTATTACCTACCTGTTCCTATGGACTGAGGCAGGGAACAACAAGAGACCAAAAATGCATAACATCAGTTAAAAAACATTGATCAATTGTGCTATAAATGTAGAATAAATGCAGGAAACATATAATGATATTTTTTTATTTATTACATGACTGGATGTTATCCTGTTACTGATGTAAGTCCAACTAAGGTTTGCTTAAGTTATTGTTTTGTCACTGCAGGTGCAGCCTTTTTACTGATCTCATGTGATGATCACACTCCCTCTCCATTCCAACCTTTTTACCTGGACAGCCTGCCTCCCAGCACAGTGGAGGATGATCAGTGAAGGTAGAAGAATGGAGAAACATCCACTAAGAGCAACCTTTAGAATAGGGGTAGGCAACCTTTTTGAGCCGGGGGCCGGGTTGCTGTCCCTCAGACAATTGGGGGGCCGAAGCACCCAAAATAAATAAATAAATAAATTTTTAAAAATAAATAAATAAATAAAAGTATGCATGCACACTCTCTCAACCCCAGAAAAGCCATGGCAAAACCCCTGTGATTTTGCCAAGAAAACCCCAAGAACAAGTAATAACAACAATAATCAATATCATCATGGCGGGTGGCGGGGGCGGCGGGGAGCAGCAGTGGCAGTGGCAGCAAGACCAGCCTGGGGCCAGTCCAAAGGCCTCGGAGGGCCACATTCGGCCCCCGGGCCTTAGGTTGCCTACCTCTGCTTTAGAACTTCAGAAGGACCCTGGGCAGGCCATGTATGATGCCTCATGTTATGCAACCAGCTATAGGAACACTTCTGGCAATTCACTGGCAAGTAAATGGACATATTAGGGAACTACAGTAGGTAAAATAGTAGGCCTGGGAGCAATAAATGAAGAAACATGGTGCAGTTTCATCAGGTGGAACTTCACGCTTCCTCTCCCTGATCCAGGATCTTGGTCTCATATATCTTGCCTTTCCCCATAGGCACTCAGGGCAGCCAACATAAATGGTTCCTCACTTTCTCCATTGCACTTATGATGTTTACAGTCAGCCCTCTGTTTTCATGGATCCATTTTGGACCCCACCGTGAAAACAGAGATTCACAAATATTCAAGCCCCATAGGCTTGAATGGGGCACGGCCCATTGATTTGAATGGAGGTCGCCCCTCCATGAATATGCAAAACCATGGACTTGAAGTCCACAAGAACAGAGAGATGACTGTATATGCTTCCCACTAACCATAAAAGACAATTAATAAATAGGCTACATCCGCACTGCAGAAATAATCCAGTTTGACAGCACTTTAACTGCCATGGCTCAGTTATGTTGAATTCTGGGAACTGTAGATTTGTGGTATATGATTTTTATTGATATGTACATCTTATCATTATCCGGTTTAAATACAACCATATTTGTTCTTATCATATCCAAAACTTTTCTATTATACCAAACAAATCACGTATAATTCTTCTTGACAAAAGTTCTTGCTGCATTTTATGCCACATTTTCATATATATTTTTTTTGCATAAAAAATAAATAAAATAAATTTATAATCATTCCCCCCTCCTCAGTCTTCTGCTTATCATATTGGATTAAATATTCTTTATAGCAAT